GATTATGGTAACAACGAAACTAAGCAATAAATAGCTAAATCTAGTAATTATTACATAGTATTGATAACCATATTAGGAAACCTATAAATCCAGACTAACATTTCTAAAAAAGTACAAGGCCGATTTATACGAATGTTACAAATTGATCGTAACACCGTTATGATATCGTAACAAAAGAAATTCGTCATCCTCATTTCCTATTAGGGAGAAATAACCCAGTAAATCTCCTCAATTGGTAGCTTATTCCAGCCGTTGCTACGTAATGATTTTAATTTAGAACATTTTTATGATATGCATACAAAAAGGTCAAATTAAACATAATCCGGTAAAATTATATACCTCGGCATAACATTTGGCCTAAGAATTAATCTACCTTTAAAATATATGCAAATGGATACTGTCGCTAACGTAAGAATTTTAATATAAAATGATCGGTAATCTTTACGCAAAAAAAAACAACAAAAAATAAAAAATACTAGCATATTGTATTCACTTAACATCTAATACTCCAAAATGTATTACTATTTAGCTGCAATTTTTGCATTTGTTAGCTACTTTCTGTATAAATGTTATATTTATCCTTTATATTTGTCGCCATTACGTAAAATCCCTGGCCCGCCTGTTGATAACTTAATTCTTGGACATTATTCCTCTTTATTAAAGAAAGATCATGGTAAAGTCTTTTTTCACTTAGCAAAACAATATGGTGGAATAGTTAGATATCATGCCTTATTGAATAAGCCATATCTCTTAATTACCGATCCAAAACTCGTACAAATGATATTGATGAGTCGTTCGTATGATTTTCCGAGGTTCAACATGAATATCACCCTAGTCAAGGAGTTAATTGGTGAAGGCATTATTCTTTCTGAAGGAAATTCTCATAAACGACAAAGAAAAATGATGTCTCCTTCATTTTCTTTTGCCAATGTCAAGGTACTCTTTTATGACAATTAATGATCTATTAAAAAATTAATCGCATAATTATGTAACAATTTTAACCTACTAATTTAGGAAATGACTCCAACATTCGTTCAAGCTGGCCACAATTTAAAAGCTATCTGGATGAAAGAAATTGGTAATAAGAGAGAGGAAAAAATTACGATTACAGCTATAATTTCAAAGATAACTTTGGATGTTATTGGCCTTGTTGGCAAGTATTAGTTTTTATTCGTACTGTGTTGATTTTTTTTTTTAATAACGCTCCTAATAGTAATCTTAATCATATTATTTAATGTAATAGGATTTAATTACAAATTCAATTCTACAACTACAGAGTCTGAATTATCTAAAGCATACAGTTTCCTAACTAATCGCAATCAAACGCCATTATACATGGCTCTTACCAGTCTCCTTCCGTTTATCAGAAAATTTCCAACATCTGATAACAATAAATATTATGATTCTATTAAAACTATCAATAATATTTCCGAGAAATTAATTGCTTATCAAAAAAATTGCCCTGTTCAAGGAACAGATTTATTGTCATTATTGGTAAAAGCAAATGGTCAATTACCCGTTGAAGAACAATTAACTCATTATGAATTAGTTAGTCAGGTAAGGATTATTAAATAATTTTATTAAACTTTTATTTAAATTATTTGGAATATATGAAGTTATTTAAAATATATAAAAAAATATATATAGTTTTATTAAATTTTTTTACTTAAAATTCAATCTAATAAATTTCAGGTTATGACATTACTCATAGCTGGACATGAGACCACCAGTGTTACATTATCTTGGGCACTATACTTCCTAGCAGCAAATCCTGATATTCAAGATCGTCTTCGCAAAGAAATACTTGATATACTTCCTGATCGTGATTATCATCCAACTTTTGATCAAATTGAACAATTGAAATTTTTAGAATGTGTCTTTAAGGAAGTTTTAAGAATCGTTCCACCTGGTAAAGTTCAATAACTCTATATTTTGAAATTATTAATTACCTACTTTATTCTAACCCTAATTTATATGAATTAAGTGCCTACACTCATTCGTACTAATGCAAAAGATGAAACGCTTAATGGTTACTTTATTCCAAAGGTATTTTCTTAAATGATTTTACACAGTGCAATTTATTTGATAAATAATATTTCATATAACTTCAAAAAAATTTTTTAGAATACACCATTGTCTATCCCCATCTACGCAATCCATCGTGATCCCTCAATTTGGGGTGATGATGCTGAACATTTTAACCCATCTCGGTGGCTCAATCCGGAAATAAAATCAAATATAACCAATTCTAATTTCATACCATTTAATACCGGTCCAAGAAGTTGTTTGGGAATGAGAATGGCGGATTTAGAATTTAAATCTATATTAGCTGTGATTATTAGAAATCTTGAGTTTAAATTAGTTGAAGGTTTTACTTTTGGAAGGAAATTTGTCGGTATACTTAAACCTACTCCCGGAATTGATCTATTAGTTTCAAAAGTAGATTATTAAAATTATAAATAGTATTGATTTTTAAGTGATTTGGATAGTTATTATATTAGTGTTATGGTTGGGACTTAGTTGTTCTAGGGTGCTAAACATTTTACATAGTATTCTGTTAAGCAAAAAAATTATTTTAAAAAATAAATCGGTAAATAAAATGGGCTTGGTGCTGCAAAAAGGTGGTAAATTGACAAATTTTTAAAAATTAATTTTTTTACATAAATTAATTTAGAATAAGTAGTTGTATTAATAAAATTATGCAATATAACTTTTTAAAATTTGGAATTTCTTACGATTTATTATAAAATTTATCATAAAAATTGATTTTCTGAAGATCTTTTTTTTGTCAATTTACCTCTTTTTGCAGCACCAAGCCCAAATAATCTTGGCTAAAAAATTTATTAGAAATGAATAAATAGCTTACCGATTGTAAGGAGCGTATATTATTTGTTAAATTTATAAATGACAATTAATAATTGTAGCTGCTTAAGATGAGATTTTAACTTATTTTATACAGTATTAAATTTTAAAAATTTTTAGGGCTCTTTTTTGCTAGCTTTCTTTTTTTAGGTTTAGATTACGGTTTAGGGATAGTTTATGGGGAATTTACACATAAGTCCGCTTGCAGTTGAATTTTCGGTTAACATCACTTTTAGAACTCTTGGGGGATAAAATGAAACGAACATATAAAATGAGAAAATATGAATCAATTTGATTGGTCGATGTAAATCAGGTGATTGTCGAGAGTTATCCAGCGTTTTCATTGGTTGTTCATTTTTCGGGGGACTTCATCTGGGGGTGATGTTAACCGAAGAATCAACTTCGAACGGCCTAAAGGCCCCAAAATGAAAATAATCACGGATGAGGGACAAAAATAGAAATTCTTACATATAGCGATAGCGGCCCAATTACAAATAAGGACCTGTCCGATCACCGAGCTATACTAGGCGACTAAGCCACAAGACTTACATGGCGTCGCCCAAAAAAAAATGGTAGCCGAATTTTTTGCTGGCTTACATATGACTTCGAAAACTGATTGCCTGTAAAGTTATGTTTATCATGCTTAATAATGATAAACGTTTGATTTGCTTTGACTTTGACTTTCGCTTTGACTCTCACTTTGACTCTTGCTATGATTTCGCTTTAATTTTTGTTTTAACTTTGACTTTCGCTTAGACACTCCTTTGCTTTAACTTTCATTTGGCTTTCACTATAACTTTCGCTTTCACTTTTGTTTTGACTTTGACCTTCTCTTTGACTTTCGTTTTGACTTCACTTTTATTTTGAGAATTTTTGTCGTGCTGAATTCACAAAATATAATTTTGATCAATCGTTTAAATAGATATTTTAAGTTCGTGAATATTTTATACTTTGCTTTACTTTGCCTTGTGTTATTGATGTTAATTTAACTAGTAAATACAAAGGATTTTAATGTTCAAAAGCATATTATATCTTGTTATTTAGTTACATATAAAAATCTTTTTAATCAATGCGCTAAAATTCGTAAAGTCATAAGTTTGTTGACGAGATTCGTGAATAGTACCCTTAGTATTTTAGTGCAAAAAAATTAATTGCATCTTAAAGCTATTTTAGTGATTTTGTAAGGGAACCATCGGGTTACATAGTACTACGCACGTGTCGTGTAACGAACGTGACTACTCAATTTGGATGGGTTT